GGAGCATGGAAGTGCTGGGGAAACCCATCGAGGGAATACTCTGCATGGAAGCAGGTCCACTGGGGACAGTTGCATGGATGGCCGTATTAGTTTACTTGAACTTTCCGTGAAATCTACATTTGTTATTGTTCTCAGCTTCTTAATCTCCCTAATACTTTCAAACTGCTAATCACTTCAAAAAATCCATATGGGAACCATTGTACAAAACACGTAAAATTAACTATATTAAGCGATCACGTTGTACAAGTTGATCAGACCACTTAACTGGTCTGTGCCTCGCACTGTCAAGGAATAAAACGTTTATTTATTCATTTAGGTGTTTGTTGTAGTATAGTTCACAGTAGATGAGGAAATGTGCAGGTGCTCAATAAAGCCTACCTCTTCTGTGGATTAATTGTGGTATTCCGCTTATATGGCGCATGTATCCACCAAGTTAGCTTGTGTAGTTGATAGGGCTGAGGTTAAAGTAATTTGGATAATGACAAACGCTGCTGCCGCTGAATGTTGGTATGGTGGGCTGGCGAACACAGCGATGCTCACGAATCAAAAGTCTGTGTAGCACAATCTAGACAATCGCGCAACAAGGTAATTATCGACTGTCCTGAGAGAGCGTAATGTTTTTCTTTGTCACTCTGATCTTCCTACACAAATTCCAATGCTGTCGCAGAAAAGAAACTGGTCCGTTTCGGTGCCGTGGTCTCACTGTTTAAATCGAGTGGTATGGAGAGACAGATGAATCCCTATTAAACTTGAGAACAGAGTGGAAATGCGATGCCACCTTATAACAACGATTGGTAACAGAACTACTGGGCGGTGAAGCACGGTATAGGCACATACGGATGCAGATGGAAGCGACCACTCATCCAAACATTAGGATAAAAAGGCTCTGTCTTTTGGATCTTTTCTGACCAGGAAAAATTAGGTCGAACAGAAAAGCTAATAGGACGGTTCGTAGTATATTCTTGCAGTGTCAGAAACCAAGCAATGCTACACTGTGCATGGTCTGGTCCATTTTCTTGCGTGGCATATAAATGCAACTGATGTTACGCACATTGTAAAACATGCATACTGTGGATACACAGCAATCGACATCTATTCATCATCATTATCAACAGCAGTACATCAGCCATTTGAACTGATGCCCCGCTGCCATACAACCATGAGAACCTATAAAATAAAGAATACTAAAAGACAGAGATAGATGGAGGACTTACCTGAAAACCTTAATGCCCTAAGCAAACATTCAGGGTCAAGGCGACCTACACCCTGTGTAGACAACATTCCGTCACAAACAGCTGGCTATCGTGCAAAGATAAGACGGCATCGGCGAGACAGCTTCCTTGCGGCTTTCACTGCCACGCGTCATAATCAGCCATTACCCCGCAGATAACTCAGCACCAAACACACTTTAAACAGGCAATCCAATTAGGAGGCGGCAGCAGACGCACCACTGGTGTTTACTGCGAGCCATGTCCTGTAAAGTCTCTAGCCAAACACAAGGCGAGTTACTTGGACTCCAGCCCGGAAGGCGAGACGGACCAACGGCACCAAGTTTGGTCGCCAGTGACTTCATTTCCCGCTGCCAAGTCAACTTCTGTCCACCTCGAGTCTTGCGCCACCCTACACCTGGCAGACTAAACAAGGCCCTCCTAGGTAAGCGGTGATCAGGCATGCGTAGCACGTGCCCGAGCCAACGCAACTTATTCAGTGCTATCTGTTGTTCTAAGGAACTAGCATGATTATCGCTATCCAGTACTGGTCTACGCACATCATCGTTGCGGACACGCCGGTGCCATCCGACACCAGCAATACTACGCAGACAATGATGATCAAAGACTTGAAGACGCCTTAGATCTTCAGACCGAAGTGGCCAAGTTTCGCTACCATGCAGCAGAATGACTCTCACTGTGGACTTGTGTACACGGCCTTTCAGACGTAGGCAAACTCCCTTCTGTCGCCAAAGATGCCGCAGGTTCAAGAAGGTAGCTCTGGCTTTTGCAATGCGTGAGCTGACGTCAGTTTCTATGCGCCCATCATTGCTGATGCAGCTGCCAAGATAAGTGAAATGATCAACCACCTCGAGTCCTTCGTTAGCAAGCGTCAAGGGGTCATCAAGTGGCTGGTGGTCCTGCAGCAACACTTTGCAATTTGAAGGTGCGAAGTGCATACCAAATAATGGGACCACTCTGGACAGGCTATTCAGGGTTGATTGTGCCGTCCCAACATCGTCGAAAAGCAAGACGATATCGTCCGCATAATCTAGATCAACTAACCTTTCACCAGGCAGCACTTCAACGCCTACATCGTGAGATTCCCCAAGTGAACACTCCATGATAGAATCCACGACGAAAGTGAACAAAAAGGGGGAAATCGGACAACCCTAACGAACGCCACTTGTTGTCGGATTGCTATCCGATAGACCACCGTACGCCCTGACGCGGCCTGTAGTGTTAGAGTATAGAACACGAAGGATGTTCACATAATTCGTGGGAACACCTTTCCGCGCAAGTATTTCGAACAGAATCGATCGATCGACTGAATCGAACGCACTCTTGAAATCGAGGAACCCAGCTATTGTCGATCTGCGGTATGCGTGGTGTGCCGCAAAGTGAATATATGGTCTATACAGCCACGCCCTGGGCGGAAACCGGCCTGCTCTTCCCTAATCCGAGATTCCCGTTCCGCAGTGAGGCGACGAACGATAATCGAGGCCAATAACTTTGTTACAACTGGCGTAAAGCTAATACCCCTGTGGTTAGCACAGTCTGTACGACGGCCCTTCTTGTATATTGCCACTATAATCGATTCGCTCCAATTAGCCAGGACACTCTCTTCGTTCCAGATACGTTCGAATAAGGTCAGTGCTTTGCAGAGGACCTCACCTCGATCCTTAAATAGCCCAACTGGTAGGGAATCCGGGCCAGCGGCACGAAAACGATTAAGGGCTGTGATCGCGTTTCGGACCTCAGCCTCATATGGAGCATCTAAACTAACCGTCCATGGCTCGTCCTGCATCACCTGAGTAGGAAGAAGTCCGGGAGCAGGGGGCCAGCTGAACTGAGGTGGAAAGCGTTCCACCCCACGAGCCATACGGCACTCCTTATTGTGTATCAGCGCACCCGCGCTGTCTCTGATTGTCTCACTGACGCCTGGTTTTCTGGGACCAGTGGTGCGGATAAGCTGGAAGAGCTTGCGGTAATTGCCTACTGCTCCTGCCTTCTCCATTTGTTGAGCCCTGCTAGTTCACCAGGCTTCCATGTCAGCACGTAGGCTCTGCTTTAGTTCACGCCTAATAGCCCGTCTGGTCACATTGTGTTCAGAACCAGTCGGGAGGTGTCTTCTGGATTCCAACAGGTTCACCGACCTCTCGGATATCCAGTGACTGGTGCAGTGACGATCGATAGTGCCACAAGCAGATGCTCCTGCGTCGTGTATGACGGCCGAGATCCTATTCCACTGAAGCTCAGTGTAATTAGGACAATACAGCGAAAGTTCGGTATACAGTGCTTCTGGATAGGCTTGCCTGACAGGGGACTGAGACAATTTCTCCGTTGCCAAGTGCAGGGGACACTTGGTGCGCCTCCCGGTAAAGTTCATGGACAGCGTACCAAGGAATGATCAGAGTCGACTCAGGTACTCCAGCATGAGCGGCAACCCAGGATGGAACTACGCCACCTGTAACTTATGGCTATGTGGTCAATTTGGGTCCATCGCTGGCCAGCTACAGGAGGACGCCAAGTGGCACTTCGGCGCCCACTGTGTCTAAAAGCAGTCCTACTAAGAAACAACTGGTGCTCCGCACACAGTTGCAGCAGACGCTCATAGTTGTCAGTCCGTTCGGAGTTAAGCCCATAGTTACCACCCAGCTGAGCTTCCGAAGAGCTCAGACGCCCTACTTGTGCGTTCATATTCCTTGCAAGTACTATAATATCTGAACTAGTAACACTGCGTAGTAGGGAGTTCAAATCGTGACAAAATATGTCCTTGACAGCATTAGAACTGCAGTCGGTGGGAGCATAAGCGGAAATCACAAACAAACAGCGTTTTGTACTACTTCGTGAATCAACCTTAGCTGATGTCGTCGACGGGCTGCACATAAACGGCTGTTCGCCGGAATCCAATCAACCAACAATGGCTCAGCCTTGGAACTTAGAATGATACTTACACCAGCTTGACCCGTGAGTGCTGCATCGGCGTCTCCGGATGCGTGCAACCGATGACGAGAGGATAAGCCGGGTGCAGTTAATTCGATAACCCCGTTAGGGTCATTGATCCTAGTCCCGGACACACAATACACATCAAAACCCAGTGTGTCTGAGGTGCGTGCGAGTGCACCCTGTTGACCTGTTTGTCTTAGAGTGCGAACGTTGAATGTCGCCATGGAAACGGGACAGCGTGGCCTTATAAGGGACTTTTGCCGATAGGCGTCCGATAGGTGCGGTGGGATGGTGGCTGCAGATGGTTCTACTCCACTGGCACTTCGGTTGCTGTCAATTAAGCTGGGAATTATAGAAGGAAGGTTAGTAATGGGGGTCGGGATGGGAGTAAGAAAAAAGGTGAAAAAGAAAGAAGGTAGGCGCCAGCAGTAGCATGTTTTCGCTTATCCGCCCTGCTGTATGCAGCAGATAAGGCGACCCTTGATAATCTGCGCGACAGCCGATGCAGGATGAAGTTTATGTTTGAAGAAAAAGTCAACATCTATTACCGATTATTCGGAGGAATTTCCCCTAAGTGGCAAAAGTTAAGGAAGGATAGTATCCTGATTTTCGTTTGCTTACCCATCGCTATCCGCGTCTTCACCGACTAGTATATCTACTTGGCCCGCAAATAGATCTCATTCGAAACTTATTCCTAATTTTCTCAAAGCGATTTCACCTTCACTTACATAAGGAGCGAAGTATAGTAATCGGTGCAATAATTTGCCTGAAGTAGTGTGATTTCCACAAGGATTCTGATTTGTCGCACCAAACCACCCACTGCAGTTAGCAGAAAGAAAAATTAATCAAAATTATTTTGCATAAAGAAATTGCGAAGTTATTCAAAGCACAATCACTAATGCACAAATGACGAAATCCAAACTCCAAATGAATCCATAGACCTATAAAAGATGTGGGCCTTTAGACGCCCTTTTGTGGTCCATCTTCCTCGCCGCCTGCACAGAGTGATTTGACGCCGGTGGGTCGGGTCCGTAATTTATTCCCAACGCTCTCAGAGCCAAGGGTTTTTCAGCAGCAGCAGTGAATTGACCGCTCTGATCCACACTGCCCTGTTGGTACTTGGAGAGGCCCGAATAACCGATAAGTTCGTCGTGCGAATTCGACTTGACATATGAGTACGTATCACTACTGGATAACAAGTGCTTTCGAGGTGGAACCTAAATTCGAAATGCGAAATAAGAAAAAAGCCACGCGTTGATTACCGCCCCGTTTTGCTCGCCCACGTAGAAAGTAAGAACGAAAACGGAGGTTAAGAGTATGTCTACATTGAGAGCCGTGGGGAGGGGGGGGCGTCCTCTAACAATTAATTAGGTCACAAAGTGCTCCATCAGGGTCGGAGAAAAGGTCACAGAGTATGTTGCACTAGTATTCTTATGGAAAAGACACATGAAACGACAGTAAATAATAAGTAATGCTTCGCTTCAACAAAAGTTCCAAAGTGGGGCTGACCTTGTCATTTTTAAAGTGAGGCTGTGGTTCAGCTTGTTACTGTATGAAACATCTGGTAACAAGGTAATGATGCTTTTGAAGAAAATGCAGTTTTCTGGGGTCGAACAGGAACAACAATTTGAAACGACTATGGAACTTCACCTAGATGCTATGTGAATACAGGCAGCTGATTTCGGTGTTATCGTCCTCTCTACGGTGAAAGGGGGACGCACAGCTCATCTGGTGTGAACTAAATTCATCGCAAGACGCTGAAGATAGCTCCTATAAACACTGCTGAACCGCATGGGTTGGTCATTTTAACGATGCACTGAAGGAATGCACGTTCCAACAAAGTGGAATGCACAAGTGGCAACCGTACAGAGCCAACAAACTGCCTTGCAGTAAGTCTCCATCTGGTCTCCCAAAGGTAATAAAAGATATTACAACAGAGGCTGGTTATGACGCGGGGCAGTAAAAGCCGCAAGGAAGCTGTCTCGCTGATACCGCCTTATCTTTGCATAACAGCTATTTGTGACAGTGGGTTGTTGACAAGGTGTAAGGGCCTTGATCGAGAATGTTTGTATTACTAATGAGTAAGAGGATTTTAATTGTAATGTTTTCGTCCTAGGAGCCCACAAGTTACATAGCACAACCCAGCCGGGAAAAGCACCAGACGCGTTTCGCCCTATTGAGGCTCGTCAGTAGTGCGCATTCCCTCGGTCCACTACAAGGGATCGAACCCATGACCGTTAGAGGCAGATACCAACTAGCCAGCAGCTTAAGCCACTGAGCCATGGGGGACGTCGGCTGGGCTACATAATTTGCAAGCTAACTGGGATATAGCACGACCTATCTTACACTGTCACGCAGGTTACTACCTTAGCAGATGACAGTGACTAGCCTCCGAAAGTCATGACTTCCTCTCACTAGACGCTACGTCCATAGCATTTGAAACTAGGAGAGGCTACATTTTATATTACTAACGTGCTTTTTCGGACTAGGCTGTGATATGTAGCTTGTGAGCTACTGGGACGAATACAGAATGTTTGTCTAGAGTATTAAGGTTTTACGACACGTCCTCCTCTCCATGTTGTTATTCCTCGTTCCGTATGTTGTCATGGTTGTATAATAGCGAAGAATCGGTTCAAATGGCTAATGTACTGCCGCTGTTGCTCTTTTTATACTTTGAGATTACCGTTCAATACGTTCGCAGTTGAGAAACATCTCAGCTACTGTGCCGCAATACAATATATTAAGAGATTCAAAAAATATATAACAGTACAAAATATAGCCTAGAAACAAGCAATATGTTTCCCTATTATCAAGCACTGACAGGAGGCTAAGCGTAAGAAAAAGAAACCCAGAAAACAAAAGCCATTAAGGTCCGCGCCTCAACAATCAACATATCCCACAAAACGTGTTTATCGCCTTTCGGACCCTAACCAGGGAGCCGACAGAGTCGGACCGAAGCTAAATTGGAAGTGCCAGTTTTCACTCCTCTTGACCAAACCTTCGATTGGCCTTTCCTCCTCTACCTCCATCCATATCCAGGTATCCTAAGCAACACACTTCGCGGAAGTCCGTGTGCTGGTCTGCGCAACACGTGACGCAGTCATCGGAGCCTGGTGTGTGAAATAATGGTGCTGAAGGATTCCATTCCTGCTTCTGCGCCATAGACAAGGTACTGAACACGCTCATCGCAGATGAGAGTTAAGCTGGGAAGGCAATAATGGTCGAACGCAACTAGGCTCCTTGTGTAGGTCGCTCTGATAGGCCACAACCGTACAGTAGGATCGAACGGAGAGCTGCATTGTAGACTTGATCCTACAGGGCGAAGGTGACGGCGTCCAGGCAAAAGTGCCTACGGGGCTTTGTTGTATGGTTTGTCACCTCATCCTCTATTCCACAGGCGCTGATACAGCTGCCCAGGGGTAGTTTGGATTTCTGAACGACTTCTAGTCTCTGCTAATCTTGGATAAAAGCTTTGGATGTTAAGGGTGCAAATCATAACCCGAAATGGCTGACAACTATTGTCAATCTGGCCAGTGATTCTTGTCACGTCGGTGAGCTGTCACAGACGAAGATAATGCGGTCAGCATACTCCAAGTCCAGAAGTCATTCGCGTGGGAAGCAGGTCCACACCTCAAAAATCCAGTCCGGTAAATGCAGTTTCCATAACTTCATCAATATCAAAGTACCAACATCAATGAGTCGAAGGAGCATGGAGTTTACCAAAAGCGGTAATGCATCGCGAGCTTAGTGTTAGTCATAGCAATTTATCGATACCAGAATTGGAATTGATGTCATCTATCTGGAATCCTAGAAAGCGCTTTATTACTTGGATCACCGTAACCTTTTGTAGAAGCTTCGGAACTATGGTATCGGTGATTTTGTCCAGGGTTGCATTAGCAACTTTATCCTTCAATGTAAGAGGCTGCAGCGAGTTTTCTGACCTAACAGAGGTACCTCAAGGACCGGTGTTGCAAACACACCTGTTTTTGATTTTCGTGAAAGATCTTGCGAGTGTGCTGCGATCAGAGTTTTTACCATTTGCTGACGATCTCAAGACCCAGCATGATACAAAGACAGTGAGCGGTGACAATGCAATGAAGGGCGACTCAGACATGGCAGATACCTGTCTGAAAGACGGTCTCATCATGGTGCACCAAAAAATGATAAACCCCAAACACATATGCCATGATCCATTGCAGCTCAGACGCCCCCAGCCCAAATTGGCTACACACTATGGTCGGCAAGGCAAGCGAAAAACAATTTCATTCTTTCGAGTATTTTGGGCATGGAACGCTCTTCCATCAGAGGTTGTTTACGGTCTAACATTGTCACTTCGAAAAGGTGAACTTACCATACGGTACATTAATTACATTACAAGAGCGGAAGATAAAATAACGTGAACTAGTGTGCTCACAGGCTCAAACAGTGGTATGGAAATCTAAAACTCTGTTCATGCGACTTGCTAAGGAAGTTCATAGAACTCGCGATTTTTATCACTTATACCTCTGATCATTCTAGGGGATTTGTCAAGCACTCATTTTTCTGTCCCGATAAGGCACCGTTCAACTGCTGGTGCTCGCATCATTACCTGAGTTGCATTTATCAATTGCTATTATACAATGCTTTGCGACAGATCACGATATTCCCATGGCTTTGTGCTCGACTGCGTGACCCATTTAGGAGATTGTTGTAGTTCTAAGTGACAGATTCGCATGGGGCTGTGACAACTCGTAATACTTCCGGGTCAAACCAGAAGTTAACTACGGTACTAATAAAATACATATAGAAATGCAATGGGACATGTGCCAACAATACCCGTTCAGTATGGAAATAATCGGCTCTCTACAAGGCAGAAGAAAACGCAAATCACCGTACTTGTCACTGTAGAGCAAGATAACAGACCACAGAGTTCGTGAGTGGCATCCCACGGTCCTTCCATTGGTTCTTTAACCTTACTCAGATGGTTCGCTGTACAACGCATCTAAGAATACAATGCGTTGGGTCATCAGGGTAATTCCAAGGGTGGTCAGAATAATGTGCCTCGGGGCAAACATGGAATGAAGGGAACACTAAGGCCGGATGTGCCCCTGAGGTTGGGGAATGAATCAATGTCGGCATGTGTGTGTGTGTGATCCATGGGACAAGTATGATCCGACCCCAGGACAAGTTACACAGTGTGCGAGCGAGCAGTAGAACATCGGGTGTTGAAAGGAAACCATGGGAACATTAAACATGGGTCGGTTGGGCTGTAGATGTTCGAAATCGTGTCACGGTCTGGGTTGAACTACAGTGCAGGTGCTCGAGATTTATCTTTGGAGTTACAAGCGTCCCGTACTGGTTCGTTAGTCTCCAGAGTTCACCTCTTGTCTTTGGATTGCAGTATGTACCCGACGCAGTCGCTTGTTTATCTGAACCATGTCAACTGGAAAGAAATCATTCGAGAACGTCATCGGAGTGGACAAAGAACCTCGGCAGTCAAACACTTTTCTCCAGCCGATGACTTGGTTGCTTGCTCTGGGACGCAAGTTAGCACTAAGAGCAGGTGGATAATGGGTTCACACAGAGCGATTGAAGTCTTTAAGTTGGCAGACCTTAAGAAGGAACACGCTGCAGTTGTACTGAAGGTGACAATGTTGAGTGTGGAGCTAGGTGTTGATGTTGAGGAGCCACCTGCTGACATTACCCGATTTCACAATGTCGATAATGGACGACTGGAGGGGTGGGTGGAACATGGCCGTAGGTCCGCACGAAGGGAGAATAGTATTAAGGATTCTCACAATAGTTAGCAAGAGACTTATCATCCATCAAGAGTAGAGCTGTAGTTTTCTAGCAGTTACAATGAAAGCACGGATTATCGATTTGGGAAACGCAGGGGGTAAGACAACTAATTGGTACGTCGGAGTTCAGCAGATGACAAAGATGTCAGGTGTGGTTGTCCAGAGTAAGACCCTGATATCCAACGTGCGAATCGCCTAGTAATTTTACAGATTACAGTAGTTACATTGCACACACAAGGTCTACTATCAGTAACATAATCATTCAACGGAATCATATTCGACTAAGGAACAAGATAAAATCGCACTGTTTCCATAATAGTCAGTTAACCCAAAGGGAGGTTCAAGTGGACTCACCTGAGACGAACTACGGCGAAACGATAGCTTTATCGCACTGGATTCTTTTCTCAAGGCGCGTGCAATTCTCGCATAGGCAACGATGGTGATCAAGATGGACAGCAGTAAAAACGTAAGACCAAGGCCTATGATAATTGACGGCGACAAAGCAAGCGTGGAGCTAAAAAAGACGTTGAAAGTAAGATAATGGGGAAAAGGGGAATAAAACGGCTTTTATAAATAGCATAATCTTGACGATGGTCCAGTCTCACAAATAATTCGATCCACGTAGGTGCATAGATTGCAGGAACACTGCAGAAACCGTACTACAGTGCGGTTCAAAGCAAAGTAAAGCGAAAGCGCCACATCCGCCAGAAAAGTGATGGAAAATTCGAATTTACAAGTATTTGGAATTGCAAGTAAAGCTACTTGAGCAGTTCGGAAACCGATGCTTTGACAGTCTTCCTGAAGTAATACGCACATTATTCTTAGATCCAATTCAAGCTTCAGAGCACACAGTATTGTCGGAGTGTAGTACTTAGCTATAAGTGGTCAAAGTTAGTCAACTCTAAGGACCATATTTCAAAAGTTAAATAGTTGCTTAGCGTTGAATCAATTTTCGTGCTATCGGTTGTAAGGTTTAACAAGCAGATTTGAAATACAAATTCAAAGTTTCATTCTATCGACTGGAGTACAGACAACGGGAATAATGTTTCATGGGCAACACAGCGATTTCCAAGTGGCAAAAAGAGATCCGTCATAATCAAATTCAATTTGACAGTAAATGAAAATTTAGGACACTTGACAGCAGGATTCGAACACAAGGCAATCCTCTTATCCGCGTATATATATATATATATATATATATATATATATATATATATATATATATATATACCGATTCCGGTTTTGCCTGTCTCTGTGGCCTCGGTAGGACAGCCGCAGGACGCCTGCACCTACAGAGGGATCATGATTGGTTTGAGCTGCACCACCCACACCCAGTGTAAACCCGAAGGGAGGAAGATCGAGAGGGATGTGGATGGGGATTACGTTTCATTAATGGAGTCGGCCCACACTCCTTAACATGTATAGCAGCAGCACCCCAGTTCATCTACATTGGGAGTCATGTATTACCATAAGTGCACAAGGCGGTGGCTGGGCCGTAATCCGCTCTACACCGGATGGAAGCAATCATGGAGCTAAGCATGGACACGAGGGCCGTGTAATCCGTCCCCCTCCTAAGCAACGACTGTCACCTGGAGACAGCAATCGAAGTGGAGGGTGTTAGACACAATGGGATGTCAAACTACCAACAGAGAATTTGAAGGAAAATTGACGTGCAAAATTGACACAGAATATGCAGCAGAATAATAGAACTGTGCAAATCAAATAAAGTGGAATAATTTTTATCTAAGTTAAGAAAACCAAGTTTTAGTGTAAGTCGGTGCACCTCAACCGCGGTGAAGAAGGATGAGGTGTGTAACATCAACCACAGCACGAGGCGCCACCGGTGTTGGTCTTACGGTAACGAATCGTCTGTGCGACGTGCTGATGTGCCACTGATGCCGTAGTTGGAAAACACTAGTGCAACGCGCCGCCACACAACACGCAGTGACAATGTGATCGCGGTTAGTGACGAAAGTTTGTGGAAAAATTCCAAACTCAGCAAACGGTTGAACCACTAACGTTAAGAGATTTGTATGCTCTAGTTTTATATAATGCAAATAGACGGTAGCCAAAAGTTATGTGCTCATGGTTTTACTGCACAGCAGCTCTTCTTATAGTCATCATCATTCATTATACACGTCGGCTAGAGGTGGGAAACACCTCAGCTACTGTGCCGCAATACATAAAGGAAAAGGAAAAGAAATACCACAGTTGCATGCCAGCTGAGCTACCAGCAACGGATAGGCATCGTTCCGGTAAGCTACCAGCCGGCTACAAAGCAAAAAGAAAAATTATTATACTTTACGCTATGAAATGAGATAGTAGGTTGAGGGGGAGGCTAAAGGGATGGGAGGGACAAAAAAAGTCACAGCAGGAACGCCACTGAGGTCGGCTCCTAGCCATACGAACAAGTGTATCCAACCAAACGTGTTCATCGTCTTTTGGACCCAAACCAGGGAGCCGTGACGCTCCAATCGAGGCCAGCTCCGAAGTGAAGGCCTTCATTCCTCTCGACCAAGTTATCACTTGGCCACCCCTCCTCAACTTCCATCAACATCCCCGGTGAGCAAACAACGCACGTTGTGGAAGTCGGTGGACTGGCATGTGCAACACGTGGCCCAGCCATAAGAGCCTGGTGCGTGAAATAACCGTGCTGAGCGGTTCACTTCTTTTTTCTGTGCTGTAAACAAGGCATCGAACACGCTCGTTACTCACGCGGTGTTCCCAACAGATGTGAGCCAAACTGCGAAGGCACCGATGCTCGAACGTAACTAGCCTCTTCATGTCCGCTGATCTTAGGGGCCAGGTTTCCCAACCGTACAGTAAGGTCGGACGTACCGCTGCACTGTACACTCTACGCTTCAGGGCCAGAGTGAAGTCGCGCCGCCGCCATAGGTGGCGAAGGTTAGCAAAAGCACTTCGAGCTTTTGCTATAGCAAAAGCTCGAAGCGCTTCTTATAGTCATCCGTTCCTTAACCATAGCCTGAATAAACGTTCACATTTCGGGCAAATGGACCGCGGTCCGGTTCTGACGCTTGTTAATGGAAGACCTCATATCTAAACAAACCGAAAACACACAGTCACTATACGGAAAACTACGGTAGTCTACGTAGGTAATGAAGACGCAGACAATTCAACAAGAGAAATTGAGTTACGGAAAACAGAGGGATACAAAAGTTTAAAAAATGCTCTAAAAATATAAAATATAATGTGACTTACCGAACCACGCGGATGTTAGCCCTATTAATAAAAGGAACATAGGTTGGCTATTTAATACAAACACAACAATCATTTGATACATTGTCACAAGGTTCAGTCAGGGACGGATCGCTGTCTAGACCACAGTATCCATCTAATATTTTTATAAACCTACAGTTTACAATCCGAGTTAAGCTAAAACTTAAGAATGTGGCGGGTATGTAACAGACATCAAACGCCAAGTGATGCCTGATATTGACTAGTTCTAGTGGAAAAACACTTGCGGGAAAAACGAGAAAACATCGGAAACTAAACCAAGTAAGCACCGAGTGGTTGCAAATCCAAAGTGATAAGACAAGTGATGGCGTCCCCAACCAAATGTGCCCGCGGCCTCAACAAGGGAGTAGAAAGGACATAACCGCAATATCATCATCAACTTACACAAGGCTATAGGTGAGAAAAACGCCAGCCATTGTACCGAAATGCACAACAGAGCCAGAAAAGAAATATCAAACCTTGTTTTTAGAGTGCTGAAAGAAGGAAAGGAAGGCTAAGCAGGGAAGAAAAGATAAAAGAACTCGTAACACAAGCGTCACTAAGGTCGGCTCCCGGTCGTGTCCACAAGTGTATACAACCGAACCTGTTCATCATCCTTGGGGTCACAACTGGGGAGCCGCGAGGTATATCGCAAAGCCACTTTCGAAGTGAGGGCCACCATCCTTCTTGACCAACTAATGGATTGGTCACCAGTTCTCTTCTTCCATATACAATCCGGAAGCGCAAAACAACGCAATTCACAGGAGTCGGTGTACTAACATGGTACAACAACCGAGGCTGGAACATAAAACGGCGCTTAGCAGTTCCCCTGGTTTTCCTGTCCAATACAGTAGAAGATGAATAAACTTAGTTTCCAGACATGGGATAAACTGCGAAGACACCTGTGGTCGAGCACAAAAAACATCTTTATATCCGTCGACAGAAAGGGCTAGGTTTCAAAACCGTGTAGCAAAATTGAAGAGACGACTTAACCGTAGACCCTAACCTTCCGGATAGGCGTGATGGCGCACTGGCGCCCTCAGTGGCAACGATGAACAAAAGCGCCCTCAGATACCGCTGCAGAGCTTGGGAAGTCATCCTCAATATAAAAGGCCCTGGCGGCATCATCATCATTACACATTAGCTAGAGGTGTAAACCACCTCAACTACTGTAACGCAATACATAAAAGAAAAAAGGGGGAAATGCAACAGGTGCAAACCAGCTGAGCTACTGCTAACGGATGGGCATCGTTCCGGTAAGCTACCAGCCGGCTATTAGGCAAAAAGAAAAATTACGACGCAAAATTATATAAGGTTAAACAGTGAGATCATGGTCGGAGATAGAGGCTTAGAGGGGTGGGAGGAAAAAGAAACTCATAAAACAAACGCCAATGAGGTCTGCTCCCATCCATATCAACAAGTGTATCCAGCCAAACATGTTCATCGTCTTTCGGACCCCAACAAGGGAGCCTTGAAGCTCCAACCGAGGCCAGCTACGAATTGAACGCCTTCATTCCTCTCGACCAAGTTATCATCTGGCCACCCCTCCTCTTCTTCCATTCACACCCCCTACGCACAAACAATGCACGTCGCGGAAGTCAGTGGGCTGACGCGCGTAACATGTGGCCGAGCCATCGGAGCCTGGTACGTGAAATAACCGTGCTGAGCGGTTCACTCCCTTTTCCTGTGCCGTAAACAAGGCATCGAACACGCTCATTGATTACTCGGTGATCCCACCTGATGTAAGGTACATTGTGTTGGCACCGGTGGTCGAACGTAACTAGCCTCTTTATGTCCGTTGATCCAAGGGGCCAGGTTTCACAACCGTACAGTAGGGTCGAACTTACCGCTGCATTGTATACTCTACCCTTCAGGGAGAGAGTGATGTCGCGCCGGCGCCATAAGTGGCGAAGCTTAGCAAAAGCGTCTCGAGCTTTTGCTATACGGTTCGTGATCTCATCTTCAATCTCACGGGCGCTGATACAATTTCCCATGTAATTGAATTTGTGAACGTCTTCTAGCTGATCCCCACCAAGGGTAAGCGTAGGAGGCGGTCCTGACCAATCTTGGAGGAACGCTTTGCATTTCGAGGGTGCGAAGCAAAGCCCGAAGTGACGGATAACCAGTGCTAATCTGTCCGATGCCGCTTGGCACGCCTGGGAGCTGTCACAGATTAGTGTAATATCGTCAGCAAACTTCAAGTCAAGAAGTCGTTCTCCTGGAATCAGATCCACACCATCTAAATCGTATCCTGTGTACGCGATTTCCATGACCATCAATAGCGAAGATGAAGAAGAAAGATGACAGCGGGCATTTTGCTCACACAGCTGGAGATATTAAATGGCGACGACAGCTTGCCGTGTGCCCTCACTCTGCCTGAGCTACGTGCCATGCAGTATAATATTATCTGTCTTTATTATAGCTATCCGATCGAGTTTTAGTGCTTCTCATTTCAACATAACCTGTACTGCAATAATGAACGATAAAACCGTCTAGCCAGCTGCATTTCTGAAGGAGTACTAGCTGATGCTCACCAAGGGGTCAGCTCTTAGGCTGGTCCCTGCAAATCCTGAAGGAAATCTTTTAGTTCAGTTCGGCTGAACAACTATGATCCGGGCACCGAAGTGCGGTGGATCTAGTTGTAACGAATCGCATCGCCAGAATAACAGTTAACAACAACGACAAGTAAATGTGGTTGAATGCAAATAGAAGGTAAAGAAAGTGAAATAAAAAAGGATGCGTGGTAAACTAATCAGGATGAAATGAAAATTAACAGAAAAGTGAACGAAATTGAATGCCGGAATGCCGCTGACTGGCGATTGCGTCATATCTGGTAGGGTCGGCAACCAGTGTTGCGGATTATCCCGGGGCATACATCCACGAAGACGGCATCCACTAGCCTTACCAAGTCTCACACAGTTGTTTCAGCCTCCACAAGTCATCAACTGGTCACGTCGCGGTTCCGCCCAACTCAGTGTGGCGACGTCGTATAGTGAACACCATGAAGCCGTTCAACAGAAATACAGGGGACATGACCGAGGTAACGTGAACGGTTAAAATTCCGCAAACACTCGAGACAAACACGAAAAGGCTTCTTGCCAAAAACAAACTGGAAGTACTCAGTATTGTTCCTCTGGTGTTCTAACCAGATATAAGCAATAGTCCGTAAGCACCGGTGACCAAACATGGTCAAGAATCCAATGTCTTCACTGTGGAATGGTCACGTCGCTGATCGACAGTAACATCGGTTTTATCGCAGCGTTATACACTCCATATTTCATTGATAAGCTGATATCCCGCCGTCTCCATGGATGGCTGAGCCTAAGAAATGCCACACACACACTGCTGATAAGTGAGGTAACCGCCTTAGTGATCTGACCAGCAGAGGTGACACAGATACCAAGGTAAGCGAACCGATCTATCACTCGCAGTTGTTGTTCGCTGATAGCTAGAACCGGTGAAGTATCGGGCCAATCCTGCAACAATGTCTTGCACTTGGAGGGTGCAACGCGCATGCAGTGCTACGCACCAGTCTGTTCAGTAGTGCTAGCATACCTACTGGGTCAGAGGCAAGTAGAGCTGTCGTCCACATAACCAAGGCTTGTCAGCCGCTCACCTAGTAGAACTTCCAAACCGAAAGAGTCCGAAGTGGCAGTCATTTCTGATCGTCTCGGTCACAAGGTAGAAGAGAAAAGGAGATATAGCACAACTGAAGAATCATAATTGTCGTAGGAAACCAAGGTGATAGTCAATCATAGACCCTTACACGACCTCAGGAGTCACGGTGGAGACTTCGGAATAGAAAGAAGTTTACCAGACAGCCGTTAGTAAATCGGCAGACTCAAAGCTAGATCGGTCAACAGAGCCAAACCATGCTTTCAAGTCAAAAAATCGCTACAGTAAGTTGTGTATCCTGATAAAGAGTAGGTCAGTGGTCGATGCAATCATGACCAAGGCTGAAGCCAGCCTGGCTTTCAATGACTCGGTTCTCACGAGAACAAGCAATTCATCGAAGAATGATAGTCGTGAAAAAGTCGGAAGTAATGGAGAGACTAACTAACCTTTTCAGTGTACCAAATCGAAATGAATTGAGCGGCAACTGCAGTCAATAAAGAGTCACCTCCATCTAGCAGCAAAGATAAAGGTCGTCGTAATTAGTTGCCTTGTTTCGTTTTAACACGGTAAGTAAATGGCAAATATTAGCCAATGTGAGAAATGTGACATAACCTTCCGCCGGCCCGTAGCCTAAATGATCACAAGCCTGTTTTTGTAACCCGAGGGTGCGGGTTCGAGACTGTGTAGGAGACGTGAGATAACCTCAGTTAGTGATCGGCTCACCAACCTTATTCATCACTGACAATTGATAGATCGGTTCATCATGACATTGTTGAACTGTAGAGTGCGAATTCAAGTTACAGGTAAGAAGATAGGCGCTACTTTGAAAGAGGAAGAGTGAGGGCCAAACGTACGCACACTAGAGTATGGTCGGGATCTAGGCAAGTACGCCAAACTGACCTACAGTATCGGACGGACGTGTGCTATTTATAGTTGATAGCAATATGATCAATTTGAGTACAGGTCACTGAGGAATTCTGTGGGTGTTAGGTGACACGATGTGAACGTTTGTGCCACAAAGTAATGTTGCTTATGTCAAGATTGTGGTCGGCGCACAGTTGCAGGAATCGGTCAGCATTGTCTGTACGGCGTGCATCGACCCTAAAACAGTCTCCCAGGTGTTGCTCAGAATTCGAAAGAAGACCCACTTGGGCACTCAAATCACTAGCAACAACTACGGCGTCAGTATTTTTGGCCATACGAAGAAGAGATGAACGATGGTGATAGAAATCGCCTTTGATACCTTTCGAACTGTAGTCAGTAGTGGCGTAAAAACGAAGGTGATAAAAAGTCACCTTGTTTTCAGACGGTGCTTATTAACACCAATAGAGATTTGAAGTCAAAACGCACACAATTGGCTGTTCACTGATATCCAGCCGAGTAGAGTACCT